GGGGGAGTCTTCAGTTTTACGAAATAAATGTACAGCTTCCGAAAACAACAAACAGTACAGTATAATGGCGCAGCAAACCAACCAGGCTGATAATAACTTTTTTAAGAAACCTAAAAATTCCCGGTAAATGTTTTATGTGGGCTTTGACCCAAACTGGATCATTAAGAAGAGAGCAGGCCGTCTTGACCCTAAGTGTCTGGACTATCCAGGCCGGGGGTGGGGGATACAGTAGCGAAGATATTCAATGAAGTAGATTCCGCCCAACCTCACCCTCACCCCCACCCCCAACCCGAATCACTTCCTTGTTGAACTTCAACTCACATCTTGAACATTCAACGGCAAGTAGTTTCACAATAACACTTTCATTTTGGGATATAAGTTTTACGGCGCTCGCAAGTGCAAACTGTCATAATAATGATCACGCTGGACACATTAAGCATATTTTTAGTTGGTAGGACATTTTGAATTTTGTCCAGGTGGCGACCGAAGCCTACTCTCATCGAATTTAGACCACCAATGGATCTTTAACTTGCACAACTTGCAATCGGGCCATAACACTTGAATCCAGAGAATCCAGAAATAAACTGAAAGAAATAGAGATAGAAACAGACAGAGAAGCACAAATGCACGCACTGATACATTGCTTTACTTCTTCAGCTTAGATGCAGCCTGCTAAACACAATAATTATATCCCAAAGTGTTGCAAAGTTGGCCTATCAAAGAAAAGTGCCTGTCCCCTCGAAGCTCAAAGGCATTGCGAAATGAAAATATAAAAACGTCATGTAATTACCAAGACAAAATATTCCTAAGCATTGATCTGTTGATTAAATGAAACAATGCCGAGAGAGGCGAAAACTGAAAAGAGCAACAGCAAAAATAAAATTGTCGATTATCAAAACAAACAGTGATAAACATTAGATTTTAATTAGAACATCGGATCTATTAATCAGCGAAATGTGCTCAAATCGTAAGAAAAAGAGGATATCACTTAAATTATTTACTGATTTTATTTTATAAAATAAATCTGTCTTTATGTTTGTCTGTATTTCTCTCTCTCTCTCTCTCTCTCTCTCTCTCTCTCTCTCTCTCTCTCTCTCTCTCTTTCTCTCTCTCTCTCTCTCTCTCTCTCTCTCTCTCTCATTCCCTCTATCCCCGCCCCTTACGCAATCCACATTTCTCATTTCTCTAAAGTGGTCTATTGTGAGCTGTGAAGAATTG